TAGAAAAAGCGGGGTTAAATTCTTTGCTGGTGAGAGGAGCACGGCTCTTCAGCACCCTTGAGGGCTGGTGTTCTGGGCTGGGAGACAGAAGGGCAGCGCAGGTGCCTGTAAGTGAATACGCAACTGACTCCTTTACAAACTACCCTGTCAGCTTTGCCGCAGCCATCACCTGGGGTGCCTGCCCTCTTCAGGGATAAAGGGCATTTCAATCTCCGGGCTGCTCCACTCATCCAGCTGAGCTCAAGGCCTGAAATGACACAGGGCAGTTCTGTGATGTGGGCCTTCTAGCACATGAAGACAGAGTGAAAAACGTCTGCAGGTTGCATTAGTCAAGGAGAGGGCGACAGGAATAACAGGAATGAATATTTTATTCGTATTATTTATATTACACTAATGCCTCCAGGGTCCAGCTGAGGTCAGGGGCCCATTGTACTAGGCCCTAGTGAGACTCCGATACTACTCCCTAGAGATTACAGTCTACATAGACAAGACAGACAAAGGGTGGGAGACAGGATAGACGGGGCACTGAGGCACAGAGATTAAGTGATTTACCCCAGGTCACACAGGGAATCAGGGGCAGAGCTGGGGACTGAATCCAGCTCTCCTGAGTCTCAGTCCAGTCAGCCTCATGATACTTTTCAAACATTGTCAAATGAATGACCCTCTTCTTTGTTAAAATTCAAGAGTGGAGAGATTCCAAATGGCTCTAGTGAGAATGACTGTGTTGACTGAAACCATCACATAGCCATGTCCCTTGGCACTAGTCATTCCACATGTGCTGGTTTTCCAGCAGGAGAGAAGTTTTCTCTTTTTGTCATGAGTGCAGCTGGTTAGAACATTTCTAACTGAGTGTCTTTTTGTTGAAATATGCTGTTCTGTCAAAGCCAAAATGTGTCATGGAAACGTACAGATTTCAGCATTGTTTTTGACCAGAGATTCCTGAATTCCAGGGCTCTCTGGTCACACACACAGAGAGAGAGAGAGAGAGAGACCCGAACTGAAAAACTGAGCTTTTCAATCCAAATTATTCACTTCAACACAATTATGTTCTGCAAAAACATTTGCAAGGCTTTGAGGTCCTGGTTTTCCAATCCACCTCCGGCAGGGTGCACCAGGTGAGTGGTTCTGGCCTTTTGAGTTCGGAGTGGAAATCTTAACTTTTATATTTTCAATAGTACGAGTGATAATCATTTGCTCATTTTGTGTCTGGAACAACATTTAATATTGTGGGCTAGATCCTCCGACAATGTCAATCTGTGCAGAGCAATTATGGTTAGAGGAACTATGCCAATTGACACCAGGCGAGGATCTGGCCCTTATATACCTGTTACTCCAGTTTGGTAGATGGATTTGATCTACACTGAAAGATTATTGCGTTTTATTCCTTGATTAAGGAGCCTGGGACTAGAGTGGGTTGGGAAATTAATAGAAGAACACCAATTATTCTGAACATGGCCAGAATGGTTGTGAAGGCTGGCAGCAGCATATGGAACCTTTCACTTCTCTATCACCACTGGTGTGGAAACAAGCAGAGTGACCGTGGCCAACAATTGTACCATCTCATGGCTGTTTGTTGACTTTAAATGAAGTGAGTTTGGGGGTTTCACTCTGGTTCCTGTAGGCCGGATGTCCACAGCATGGCTAAGAGCCTTAGCAGGGCCTCACGATTGAATTTGCAGGAAGCCTGCATTACATACACACCAGCTGTGCTGACCATACAAGTGGCCCTTCTAGATCAGAGCTGAGGCAGGGCAGGCTGGGGGAAGGTTACATTGCTGCAGCCTGTGCTTGGAAAAACAAATGTCCGACTCCAGGGCCGTCACTCTGGCACCTTTCATAGTGCACTGAATTCACTTCAGAAATGGCACTTGTGTTGATGCTACATTCTTGGTGTTGTGTTTTTAGCTACCTCCATCTTGTTTGTTTGTTTGTTTGCACTATGGTTAGAGATGGACTCAGACCTCAGAATTTGGATCTGCATTCAGATCCAGACCTTAAACAGCCCAAAGTTTTTTGTGGGGTTGATTCAGCCTGCTATAAGAACACAGGAATTGCAGGACCAGAGCAGTGGTCCATCTAGACTGGCATCTTGGACATTTGGTGAAACTAAAAAGGCAGCAAATGATAAAAGGAAATACTTTTTTTTTTCCACAATGCAGAATTAGATTGTGGAACTCATTACCACAGGACATCATTGAGCTCATGAGTTTAGCAGGATTCAAAAATGTATACAGATAACAAGAATATCCAGAGTAAGGATTATGAAAAAGAGGGGGGAAATGGAAGGGATACAGGCCCTCATGTTCTAGGGCATAAACCAACCTCTAATTTAGGGGGACAGAAAGAAATTTCTTTTATGGACAATTTATTCTATTACTGGCCATTTTAGGGTCTCTTGCACCTTCCTCTGCAGTAGCTGGTACTTGCCATATCAGAAACAGGATACTGGATTTAGATGGAGCACCAGTATGGCAATTCCTATATTCATATGTCTCTATCAGCAGCCATTACCAAATACTTCAGAGGTTGGTGAAAGTTTGACCCCACTGGTCAGTGTATATTATGTGTCCCCCTCCGTGCCTGATCCATAGAGGATATGGGTCTATTACAGCCTTCTGCTTGAGAATTTTGCTTTTTAGCTCAAGCTGTAGACTTCTGCTTTCAGCTCCGGAGCGTCCTGGTTCAGTCCCTGGTGTTGGCCAAGATGACGGCTGTCTGGGATTTGAGAAGCTCAGTGGGCTTTGGTTGCACAGGAGAAGCTGCTTCTCTCTGGAAGAAGCATGTAAGCGGCTGGTGTTACGCCTCCCACTCTGTACCTGATCCACTGAGAATGTGTGCCAGTTATGGAACTCAAGCTAGAGAGACCCAGGCGCCCAGGGAGGTGCCTGGTTCAATGTCCGGTGTTGGGCAAAATGTTGGCCACCACACAAGAAACTGCATAGTGGACAGCTGTGGAATAGGAGGTTTCTACCTAAAACCAGGTGACAAGTAGTTGGCTTATTTCCCTTTGATGAGTCCAGCCCCTGCACCCATCTATGTAGCTTTATTCCAACCCAGCCTCACTTTGTGGGAGGGTGTAAAGTGCTAATTATTCTAAATGTTTCCCAGATAGGGGGAAGCACATTGCACAAAAATGTCACCACTTGCTGCAGCCCCTTATAAACAGGAGAATTAGAGGGTTTTTAACCCTCCCACACACCATCATTGATGAGATTTTTTGAACTCGGTGGGTCATCTCAGAACAAAAGTGCGACAAACGAAGCCCTCTGGCTGTGGAGGTTTCCATGCGAGCCTCCTCTTCTAAGCTGGCTGTGTTAATAAGCTCATATTTCACTTAGCTGGCAGAAAGCTCTCCACAGGACCCTGGAAGCGCTGAAGGTCAGCGGGGAGATAATGAAGAAGGCTGCTCAGGTCTGACGGCTGCCTCCTGTTTACTCATTATTTCCCAGACGCATCACTGACACCATGCATCCTCACTGCAGCTCTGGCAGAGAGCTGGCTGGCAGCAGCTTCTCTGTTCCTTCCATCACATGGAAGCTGTAACACCAGCCTGAGTCCCCGTTGATCCGTCTCGTGCTCTGTCCACTTGTCATTAATGGGTAGGGCTTCACCAAATTCATGGCCCTGAAAAACACATCACCGACCGTGAAATCTGCTTGTTTGTGTGCTTTTACCCTATACTATACAGATTTCACGGGAGAGACCAGCGTTTCTCAAATTGGAGATCCTGACCCAAAAGCGAGTTGCAGGGGGTCGCAAGGTTATTTTAGGGGGTCATGGTATTGCCACCCTTCCCTCTGTGCTGCCTTCAGAGCTGGGCAGCCGGAGAGCGGTGGCTGTTGGCCAGGTGCCCAGCTCTGAAGGCAGTGTCCCACCAGCAGCAGCGCAGAAGTAAGGGTGGCAACACCATACCGTGCCACCCTTAATTCTGCTCTGCTGCCTTCAGAGCTGGGCAACCGGAGAGTGGCGGCTGCTGACTGAGGGCCCAGTTCTGCAGGCAGCAGCGCAGAAGTAAGGGTCGTAATACTATACCAGACCATCCTTACTTCTGTGATGCTGCTGGTGGCAGCTCTGCCTTCAGAGCTGTACTCCCGGCCAGGAGCCGCCACTCTCCAGCTGCCCAGCTCTGAAGGTAGCGCCGCTGCCAACAGCAGCGCAGAAGTAAGCCCCTCAATACACTTACAACCCCCCAACGCCCCTTTTTGGGTCAGGACCCCTACAATTACAAAACCATGAAATTTCAGATTTAAATAGCTGAAATCATGAAATTTTCTGTTTTTAAAATCCTATGACCGTGACATTGACCAAAATGGATGGTGAATTTGGTAGGGCCCTAGTCATGGATGTAGGGGGTTTTTTTGGTTGGTTGTTTTTTTTCCTGGCAGGACTAACTATTATCTACACCATCCCTGACAGGTGTTTGTCTAACCTGCTCTTAAAAACCTCCAATGGTGGAGATTCCACAACCTCCGTAGGCAATTTATTCCAGTGCTTAACCACCCTAGCAGGAAGTTTTTCCTAAAGTCCAATCTAAGCTGCCCCTGCTGCAATTTAAGCCCATTGCTTCTATCCTCAGAGGTTGAGAACAATTTTTCTCCCTCCTCCTTGAGAACAATAAGTCATCACCTAGCATTTTTCTTCCTTTGCCTATCTGTAAAATTCGATTATTATCAATGGAAATATTTTTGTAGTCTGTGTGTATGTATGTGGTGCAATCAGTGTTTATTGACCTTTACTGATAAAAATCTAATCCTTCAAAGCCCCCAGGAAATCACTGCCCCAATCTATACAGCTTGTCTACAGTTTCACCGCAATCTACAAGTAGAGTGGTTCTGACTGTAAAATGTGCTCTCAGTGGCTCTTGTATCTAGCCCTCTGTGCATCCTCCTCACTCACCTCTCATTTTCTGTTTGTTCTTCCAGGTTCTGTATCATGTCCTGGTGAAGTATTGGCTGAGTGAGAAGGTTGCTGGGACGACGGCTACAAGGGGATCCATTTGAGGTCGATCTATCAGCCTGCCTACACCAGGTGAAAGCAACGTGGGTACATATAGCTAGTAGTAATATCCTGAGAGTTGGCCCTGTGCAGGTCAGGTCACTCCCCCCCGACAGCACTCATAGGAATGGAATCTAAAGGAAGCACCCGAAGCGGAAGCAAGCCTGATGCCAAGGCCACCAGCTCTGGAAAGCCGGAGAAGCCCAACCCCGGGCCTGCTATGAATGCAGACAAGAAGGAAACCCCCTCCAAGGAGCAGCCCACCCCTGTGGCCACAACGAAGAAGGCAGCCAGCGAGGCCGCTGCACTGAATAATCACAGCAATCTGAAACCCAGCCCTGCGGCCCCGGAGGTGCAAGAGGCCACCGGCCAGTCCCCTGACATTGAGCACAAGGGAAATGGCGCGGAGGAATCCTCAGGCAGTGTCTTCGATAATGTGAAGCCATTGGCCATTGTTGGAGGTGTGGTGGTGGCTGCCATTGCTGTAATTCTGGGAGTGGTGTTCCTAGCCCGGAAAAAATGAAGACCGAGAAAGGGTTGGGGGAGAGAAATATAATCAACTGTACAGTTCCTTTTGAAACACATGCATGCAGTAAATTCTATACATATCTATACATATATAGAGAGAGCACTAGATAGGGTAACTACAGCACCAACAACTACTCCAAAAGTCTTGTTCCAAAGGAGCCATGCCAGTTTGACCAGTATGGGTACTCCATGCACTCAATATGTGCTTTCGTGTAATATAACTTGGCTTGTACAACTGTGTATAGATTACAGCTTCTTCTGATCAGTGTAAATGCCGGTGTCCCCTCCCCCCACGCTCCTCCCCAGGAGACTCCCCACTTTCCCATAGTCCCAGCATTTCCAAGCAGAGGTGTTCTACATCCCATCCTGAGTCCCTGCTCTATTTATTTTGATGTTTTTTAATTGGGTTGTGGTAGAGAAGAGGAAAGGGAATAGTACTAAGACCCAGTTCATCAATTATTGTGGTTTATTATTAATATCGTACCCCAACTTGTGCTGGATGCTTTGCAGACATGTAAGAAGGCAGCTCCGAGCTTATGGCCTAATAGGTACATTATGTTCCTAATGCTTATCACCCAACCTCTAAAAACAAACAGACAAGACAGGAGTAACCCATAGCTGGAGGTGAGCTGACTGTGTGATATAGAAGAGTGTGGATCACATGGCATTATAGAACCTTTTCTCTGTCTGAGCTGCAAGCCAGTAGCTACAGTGAAGCTCAAGGGGCAAATATGTCTCACTGAGATCTACAGTGCGGTTTGCAGCCCATGGAGACAACATACAAGGCTTGGAGTCCCATCCCATCTTTAGTCATACAGAGGACAGTTTCAACCTGCTCCATGTTATGTATATTGGGGGCAGCCCCAGGCACCCAGCCATTTGCCAATGCAGATAAGACCACTGGGACAGTTTGGGCATTCCTGCCCTAGAGGGTGATAGACTGTTTTGGACACAGTGTCTGATAAACTTAAATTGGCCTCAGTAGTGCACTAAGGGCTCAATCCAAACTGCACTGATGTCTGTTGGAGTTTTTCCATTGACTTCAGTGGGCTTTGGCTCAGGCCCTTAATCCTGGTGCTTTTCCATCAAAGGTTGATCTCTCCTTGCGTGTGGTAGAAGAAAAGGCAGACAAGAACTAGGCTTTAAGAGCAAGCAGCACATGAAGCACTATGGGAATGACATACATGAACCCCTTTATGCTGGGAAAACCATGTGCAAAAGTGATGAAAACAGATGGTGCTTGGAGAGATCTTCTACCCCCTAATTTGAGTCTACCAGGAAAATGTGAAACATTCATGTCTTGAAAGTGGAAACAATTTCCCAAAACTTGGAAACAGCCTGGTTTCTTTGCTGGGGGGGGGGGGGGGGGGGGGTGAGATATAAAACCAGACCGTGGGTAGGAAGGGAAAAGGGAAAAGTAAGAGAGAGGATAGATGGAGGCTCCATTTACTACATTCTGAGAAGATGGGACACACAGGGATGAGGGATGAGTGACCTTTCCAGACTCAGAACTTCCATTAAGACCTGCATTTGCTGCTGCTGCTATAGTATAGAAAGGATTCTTTAGCTAATGTTTTATTTTAAATGGAGCCAGAATTGAAACAGAATAAGCCAAAGAGTCATTGGAGCTCAGCAGTAGTACCTGCTAACCGGTGAGTGGTATACAGGAGTGTCACAGTTTTGCAGCGATGATTGGCAAAGATACTGTACAAAAGCCAGAGAAACCAGTCCAAATTCAGAGGGAATGTAGAAGGTGGGGTGAAAGTTACATGTCTGGAAGGGAGCCTGAGCACCTGGGAGTATAAACCAGTATAAGGGCCGGATGAAGCATCAATTATGCCAAGTCTCTTAGTTTCTTACCCTAGATTTCTTGTATCTTCCACTGACACATCTAATATTGGCCACTGGTGGTTGACAGGATACTGGACTGGATGGACTACATATCTGATCCAGTCTGGCAATTCCTATATTTCTAACTCAGAGTCCTTGAAGAATTTGGCCTACTGAGTGCATGTGGCTCATCAGAATATTTGGGCACAGCTGCTTTACAAATTCCCTTCTATTCCTGCAGTTAGATTTTTCACCATCTTTTCTACAAGGCTCTTAAAATATTCCCAGATGTATGCGGCCTCTTTGGATATAAAATTCTATCTCCTGGTTTCCAAACTATTGTGTGTTTCTGAGTTTTAACCTGCATATGTTCTTTTCCATTGCACAGACTGATGCAATATGATCAGGTTTGCCCCATTGTTGAAACAAGTGCTAACAACCACCATGCTTAAACTTGATAGGTGCTAGCACTGTTTCACCTGTATTATGGACAGGACTTATAACTTCACCTTGTAATACAATCCCTCCTGTACTGAGAAGGCTCTGGGAAAACCTTACTAAGAATAGACTAGCTACATCATGGGGGATTCCTTGTTGTTATTTATCCAGAAGGTTGTTTGGCTGGTTGTTTCTTTAATAACCTTTCCTTGTTGAGGAGCTAATTTGTCCCCATGATGTTTTGCAGATGCTGAGATGTTAATTTATTATTGTAAGCTGGGATGAGGATAGGGTGAAAATGGGGAAGTGCAAAGTATAGGCATCTGAGATGGAGAAGAGATCATAATTGTCTAGCCTGTCTCCTGCCAATGCAGGGCTGGTGATTCCTGGAACTTATGAAGCAGAGATTTGATTTCTAGTTTCAAGTGTAAATTACTTCAAGAGATGTTTCCCTATTTGTTGCCCTTCCATTTTTAGTTCTGGCAGATGTGTTTTCCAGTGGAGTGTGTGATAAAAATCACAGATCTAGCTCCTTTCTGCTCTGAACTAACCAGGGTAGACAGAAATTTAAGGAGGAAAAGGAAACATTGGATGCTTCACAGGAGCCTCTCTCTCTCCTTTTAAAAGTATTTTAATTTGACTGCATTAATTTTTGGAAAACTGAGAAAAAAAGTTCTGAGTTGGGAAGTTTTCCCCTGAGCTGCAAAACTTCCATCCAGATCCGAACTGTTCCCCAAAGCATTAAGATATGTGATTTGGATGCAGGCCCATCTCTAGTTCTAAGCCAATAATTTCCTCCTGAAATATGCCAGAGAGGTTATTGAGACATGGGAGATGGTGATGGTGGCGGGACAAGAACTCGTCATCTTGAAAAATAACCTTGCCCTCAATCATATTTATGGCCGTGAAGAAATAGGTTAGGTCTATAAGGGAATCATTCACTTACTGTAATTTCTTGGTACTGTTGTCCACTGTCCATGACTCATTCTCCAGAACCCAGCTCATTTGCTGGTCTGAAAACACCCATTTTTTGTGTGGATGTGTACAACCCCACCGCCTTCTTGAAGAATATTACATGTATATATTACAGTTTACTGCAGTCTTTGTAAAGCCACACACCCCATATTTTTTGTAAAGAAAAATATTGAGACAACCCTTTATTTGTGCACCTGCATTCACACAAAGTGTCCATGTTTTCTTTTTTGTACCATTTGCATTCTGCCATGTAATGCCCTAAGCAACATTTTTGGTCATGGTTTCTTACCACTAAGAGAATGTCTGGCTAGGAAACTCCTGAATGTATAGCGTCCCCATTGTGCTACAAGCTAAAAATTACTGTTTCCCCACCTTCCCCAAATAGTCACGTGGGCTACTTGCTTTTAAAAAGGTACTTCCTCTTTTAAAGTATTTTGGAATGTGTTGTGTTGTGTTGTAGTGGAACTAGTGCTGGTTTGAGTCTGGTATATCACAAGGAGGTGTCATGCAAGCTTCCTAAACACACAGGGTTTCTATGCCCTCCAGTCCTGACTTGCAACTACCCCTTTTAGCAGATGCTGCCTGTTATACCTTTGTGCTGCACTGCATGGTGGTTTCCTGTTGAGCACAAAAGTCCAATGAGAACTAGACTGAGAAGAGCAAATTATCTCTCGGTTGGAACCCACGGCAGATTGAAACCCAATTTGTCACGAGGCAAAAGGCTAACGAGTGAACTTGCTGTGCTAAATAAATAGTTGTCCTGTTTTGCGGCAGCACTGAGCACATGCCTTTATTTGTTTGATGTATTGTGTTGTGTTTGCTGTAATATGAGGTCCTTTTAGTGACATCTCCTTAATGAGAACGAATTAAAGCTTGAAACTGATAAGATTCTGGCTTGGGGATTTGTAGGGATCTAGATTGCTAGTTTACTCTTATTGATGCTGTTTATAAATTAGAAATTTGATAGATTAATTATACAAACACTGCAGTAGAAAATGCAGCTTATCTTTAAAACAATAGATTCAATTACTATATTCTATTTTGAAGAAACCACCTCTCTCGACCTAATGCAAGAATGTCACTTTTATCTCTTGGACAATTTAGTACAGGGTTTTCCCTGTCCCTAGCTCTGTAAATCTGAAATTGACCACATTTCCTCTGATGGGGCCTGACCCAAATCCCACTGAAGTCAATGGAAAGACTTCTATTGACTTCAGTGGGCTTTGGATCAGGCCCATGCCTCTTAATAGTTTTGCTGTGGGATAGAATCAAATCTGAGCATGAGGGATGCTCTGACAGCATTTTCAGCATGGTAAGAATGTATTCTGCCAGGTGATTTCTATCTCATGTAGGCCGTGATTCACCAAAAGCACTTAAGCACATGCTTAACTTTAAGTAGACCCACTGACTTCAGTGTTACATGCTTAAGTGCTTTGCTGAATCAGGGCTTTGGGGGTGATCCAAAAAACATGAAGGGGAGTCTTTCCACTAATTTCAGGAGGCTGTGGATCAGGCTGTTAGAGTTACTTTCCCATTTTCTGTTCTTAATTATTTGTATTGTGATAGTGCCTGGCATGGTCCCTCTGTGCTGGGTTAATTTCACGTACAGGGAATGGGGAAAACAACCATTAGGTTTGATCCTTAAAGGGTTCCACATGTGGAGCTCTCACATACTTCAGGTTCTATCCTTTGATCTCATGGACTGCCAGGGAAGCCATAAGCAGAGACTATAAAGAGTGTCCTTCTCACATAGTGCATTCAAACCTACTGCTCCATTTACATCTAGTGAATTACTCCTAGCCCAAAAATACAATTTATTTTAAAACAATCCTTAAATAATCTAAGGACTTGGATCATCAAGAAATGACTTTTCTTGGCCCATCGATTTTAAAAACTCTTCCAAGCCAATCGTGATTTTAGTTTAATCCTTCACCAAAGTCCATCTGTTGCAAATACTGCTTATTACTTTTAACAGCATGTCCAATTATGTTAAGAGCATTGAGTGTAGGCTGATAAACCTTAGCTATTATGTTTAATTTGTGGCAGAAAATGAGGTGATACCTAAACTAGACTATCAAATGACATAAATTATATGTAATGTTCCTCTCCTTGGGCTAGACTCTCCTAGCCTTAATTACACAGAGTAGCACCTTATTTCCCATTGACTTCAGAGGGACTAATCATGATGTAAGGTACT